CGTTATTTTGCCTGCCGATTTGGTTTCTGTCGTCCCCGCTTGTTCCGCCTCCTCCTGCCCTGCTCTCTTTGTTGCCTTTGCGATTTCCTGCCCTGGTGTTCGTCCTGCCCGGTGCTCCTATGCCCGCCCTACGCCCTCCGCGCTTCGTTGCCCTCGTTCTTGGACGCCGTCTGCAACTCCTGTTTTCGTCTAGGGTTTCCGTGCTACAGTTTCGGATCCCCCCTGTTCTTGCCGCCTCCGCCCTGGCCGTCTTGGCCGAATCGGCCCGCCGTGCTTTCTGACCGTGGTTCGTGCTTGTGCTGTCCGCCTATTCCTTGCGCCTGCCGTTGATGCCCGCTGGTTCGCCCCCCTTTGCCCTGTTCCTGATGCCTTCGCCATGGCCCTGGTTGCTCCTGCTTCCTTTACCCTGCTTCCCGCAGCGTTTGTTTTCTTGTCCTCCTGTGCTCTTTTGGTATGGTTGGGGACCTGCAGTTCATGCCGCTGTGCTCTCCACAGAGCTTTTCCCCTTCTCTGTGGTCGATTTCTTGGTTCCTGTTTCGCTTGCTTTTGTTCTCGGGCCTGATTTCCCCTCTGCTGTGTGTACTAATACTTGACTTTGTTTCCAGGTTTCTTGCCTGCCGTTGCGTCGCCGCTCCGGATCTACTATGTAGCTGCTTGTTGCAGATGCGCTATGGCCGGACCTTAGCTTACTCTTACTGCCGGTAATTTAGTCTGCTTTGTTTGCGGCCTCAAATGCCATGTTTGCTGTGTCCTTACATTTTTCTGCTTATTACGAACAATGTCCTCACAGTTGTGTGGTTCGTACGAAAAAAAAGAGCTTTAGCGTATTTCGTTCCAGTGTACGAACGCCGTCGGAATGCTTAGATTTTGCTTACATGCTTTCCTGATCCTGTTCGTAATGCTACCTGTTTCGCCGGTTATTTTCCGGTGTACGGAGGCCGTCGGAATGCTTAGATTTTGCTTACATGCTTTCCTCAGCCTGTTCGTAGTGTTACCTGCTTCGCCGGTTATTTTCTATGAGCTTAGGGTATGTGTCAACTGGTTGTGGCCGTTATTTTGCTTCTGTGTTGTCCGCAGAGGTTTACACGTATATGTGTGCTGTTTTCTTCTGTGGTATCCTTTCATTTTCAGGTCTTTAAGATTGGTTCATGTGTTACAGGTGCATTATGCAGCTTCCATCGTACTCCTTCATCCTTGTGCTTGCTCTAGCCTTACCAGATATCCAAGGTGTCATGATATGCTGAGGTGCATCCGGTAAATCCGACCATATTTGTATGCCATTGCTGTTTTGCCTATTATGTTGACCATGTTTCAATGCCGATGGTGCTGAAAATAGTTTGTTTCCGCTCTGAATTATAGCATGTGAGAATAGCCAGTTATAGTTATCACTTTTTAATGGTCAAATCCGACCATATTTGTATGCCATTGCTGTTTTGCCTGTTATGTTGACCGTATTTCGGTGCCGATGATGCTGAAAATAAATTTGTTCCCCTCTGAATAATGGCATGTGAGAATAGACAGTTGTAGTTATCGCTTTTTAGTGGTCTTCTGGTTCTCGTTTCAAGTCAGCCGTAGCCATATGTTGTGATGAAGACTTGGTCTTTTATGATATTTGCATTATTTCTTCTTCTTGTACTCATGAATTCTATTAGTCTTATTAAACCAAATATATTAAGTATAAATGACAGTACAGTGGACTTGGTATAGTCAAGGTTTCTTGAAATTTTTGGATTACATCTGTCCTCTGTTCTGTGTTTCCAGTCATGAATGCTAATAAGCTTATGAAAACACATATTAACTACAGATACCAATGCAGTGCATTTGGATTTAACATGGTTTCTTTAAGTTTTTTTGGGTGGTGCAATTAGATTATATATATATATATATATATATATATATATATATATATATATATATTCCCAAACGCTACTGCATTCTGCTTATTATTTGGGAGGCCAAAGCATTTAAGCGTGTACCACAGGTTGATTAAAATTTTAAGAGCCATATAGATATAGATTACAAATGGGCGCTGAAATTTTACAGCCACAGTCTCGTTGTATTAGCTACATGATTGTTCGTTAGTGTCTTTACAACCTTTGTGCATTATTTCCTTTGTCTCAGGTTGTCCCAGCGCTGCTGATCCGGTCACCTCTTGTTGTTCTTAGGTGATTTCTTTCCCCTCTGAATAATGCCATGTGAGAATAGACAGTTATAGTTATCGCTTTTTTATGGTCAGATCCGAGCATATTTGTATGCCATTGCTGTTTTGCCTATTATGTTGACCAGATTTCGGTGCCGATGATGCTGAAAATTCTTTTTTTCCCCTCTGAGTAATGCCGTGTCAGAGTAGACAACTGTAGTTATCACTTTTTAGTGGTCTTCTGATTCTCATTTCAAGTCAGCCATAGCCATATGTTGTGATGAAGACTTGGTCTTTTATGATATTTGCGTTATTTCTTCTTCTTGTGCTCATGAATTCTATTAGTCTTATTAAACCAAATATATTAAGTATACATGACAGTGCAGTGGACTTGGTATAAACAAGGTTTCTTGAAATTTTTGGATTACATCTGTCCTCTGTTCTGTGTTTCCAGTCATGAATGCTAATAAGCTTATGAAAACACATATTAACTACAGATGCCAATGCAGTGCATTTGGATTTCACATAGTTTCTTTAAATTTTTTGTGTGGTACAATTAGATTATATATATATATATATATATATATATATATATATTCCCCCACGCTACTGCATTATACTTATTATTTAGGAGGCCAGACCATTTAAGCGTGTGCCATAGGTTGATTAAAATTTTAAGAACCATATAGATATAGATTACAAATGCGCACTGACATTTTACAGCCACAGTGTCGTTGTATTAACTACATGATTGTTGGTTATTGTCTTTACAGCCTTTGTACATTATTTTATTTGTCTCAGGTTGTCCCAGCGCTGCTGATCTGGTCACCTCGTGTTGTTCTTACGTGATCTTTTTCCCCTCTGAATAATGCCATGTGAGAATAGACAGTTATAGTTATCGCTTTTTTATGGTCAACTCCGAGCATATTTATATGCCATTGCTGTTTTGCCTATTATGTTGACCAGATTTCAATGCCGATGATGCTGAAAATTAACTTTTTCCTCTCTGAATAATGCCATGTGAGAATAGACAGCTATAGTTATCACTTTTTAATGGTCTTCTGATATCACTTTTTAATGGTCTTCTGATTCTCGTTTCAAGTCAACCATAGCCATATGTTGTGATGGAGACTTGGTCTTTTATGATATTTGCATTAGTTCTTCTTCTTGTGCTCATGAATTCTATTAGTCTTATGAAAACAAATATATTAAGTATAAATGACAGTGTAGTGGACTTTGTATAGCCAAGGTTTCTTTAAATTTTTGGATTACATCTGTCCTATGTTCTGTGTTTCCAGTCATGAATGCTAATAAGCTTATGAAATCACATATTAGCTACAGATGCCAATCCAGTGCATTTGGATTTAGCATGGTTTCTTTAATTTTTTTGGGTGCTGCAATTAGATTATATATATATATATATATACATTCCCCCCCCCCCAACGCTACTGCATTATACATATTGTTTGGGAGGCCAAACCATTTGAGCGTGTACCATAGGTTCATTCAAATTTTAAGAACCATATAGATATAGATTACAGATGGGCACTGAAATTTTACGGCCACAGTATCGTTGTACTAGCTACATGATTGTTGGTTATTGTCTTTACAGCCTTTGTACATTATTTCCTTTGTCTCAGGTTGTCCCAGCGCTGCTGATCCGGTCACCTCTTGTTGTTCTTAGGTGCGGTACCAGAATTCCATAGGATTTACAGGTTGTTATTTCTTCTGTTCACGTATTGCGTACACATACATGTGGTTTTCTTCGGTACCTCATGTTGTTCTCCTCACCTGCATGCCGATGATTTCGCCCTCTTGCATCTATTAACGTGTTTGCTACATTCGGCTCTCGCTCTCTGCTCTACACGGTATGTCCACACCAGTTCCGACTATGTTATTTTTGTTTCAGTAACCATCCTGCATGGTCATTTATTTTCTATTACACTGCTTTTTTGACTCTTCTATATATGTACGATTTTCCTCTATGCTTGTGGATTTCTACATCGTTACTGATATATATAGTTGTGTGCGTACATACATATATATGATCACGTATGGTTTACATATATTATATATATATATATATAAACACGTGTTTTATGTGGCATTGTGGCTGACAGCTTACTCTTTCCTTTCTTTTTTTTCATCCTCCTTGTTTTTACATATACATAGCATGCTGGAGGCAGTGTTCCAAGAAGGTTTTTTTCTTACGGTCAGCTCACCATTGGATCCGGCTGCTACCTATGATCATCATCCGCTTGGCGGGCCGTGTGCTGTCTACAATCCATAGATGGATTTGTTATTCTAGATTACAGTTTTGAGCGATTGGTTTCCTAGGCTACAGCAACTCAGCATGCTATGTGTCTTAGAGGTAAAGCTATTAGGTCGCCTAATATGCTTGTGTCACATAGACATGGATCTAGCATTGTCAGTTCTCAGGTATTTTCGGATGCTCAGCGTCTGTTGCACAGGCCTGCATCTGTGAGTTGTTGTACGTGCAGTTGGTTCCTGTGAACACTTTGTTCAGTAACTGTACCTTCACTTTTAGTCATAATAAGATAGATGTATCATTTGTTGTTCCATTCTTTTCATCTGGCTTCGGACACTACTACAGCTTATTATTTCCCTTACCTTTGTTTGTAACTGTTGTCGTTGCCTTCTTTTTTAGCCGTGTTGGCTTTTTAGCCGCTTGTATACAGGTTTTTCCAATGCCTTCGTGGGCTTTTCCAATGGCTTCGTATGATGTTCCCTTTATTTATGGATTGTTTGCGTTCTTTACCGTTTTTATTCTCTTACGTACTCTGTCAGCACATGCCTTTTTCTCCTTCCTAGTTGATATACTCTGAGCTCGTATACATCCATGTCCACTGGGGCGCAGCTCTCTGCTGACAACGAACAATCATGTGTGTAAATTTTCTCCTTCGAGCTTCTGTATCAAAAATATTACCTTTCTCTTATACTGTATGGGTTGCTCGTTTACTGAAATTTTCCTTTGATTATGTCATCATGCTTGGGGTGCTTGCCTTATTGATGACCTTCATCCTTCTGTGCGCCGATTCTGTTTAGCCTCCTCAGCATCCTCACGCCCCGCCCTTTCTGTGAACGGCCACACAAGAAATTGTATGCTGTTTCTGTGTGTCTTTCTTGCTGTGCTCGTTCCTTATTCTCGATCCTCTTATCTGATCATAGTGCTATCTGTGTTCTGGTTCTCTTCTCTTAGGTGCCCGTGTTTTCCATGCTTCGCCGGTCTTAGATCCTTCTGAGTCCCGTCAGAGGCGGAAAAGGCTATTAGATCAACACCGGCTTGCCTGGACAGGTATATTGCCGGTTTCATATGGAGTAAATAGACCACACACCTTCCGCGTTTTCTTTTTCTCGCTTTTTATTTCCATAAACTACACTCTTGTTAACGCTCCGTGTATCTCTCCTTTAATCGACCCGCCTCACAGGTCGTTCAAAGAGTTATACACCGTCTCTTCAGTGTGGCCATTTCGATGACGAATACGTTAATGCGCTCAAAGGTACATTTTTTACGTTCCTGGACCAACATGATTTGTGCTTTCCTATCCTTGTTTCATTCCCTCCACGCCTCGCTGATCCTATTCATCGTCTCTAAACGTCCGTTTTAAAAAAACTTGGTTTATAGCCTCTTATCGAGATAGGTCCTATTATGGCCCCCCGAATTATCAGTGCCGTCATTGTGATGCTGTGTTCTGGTACGGCGAGAGGGCCAAATCTGAGTCTTCGCGCCGTGATGACAATATTGTTTATAACAACTGTTGCCGGAGTGGGAAAGTTGTCATCCCGCCTTTCCAGCCTCGCCCTGATCCTTTGGCTGCGCTAGCGACGTTTGGTGGAGGTCCTCGTTCCAACAAATTCATGAAGAATATTAGACAATACAATTGCCTTTTTGCCTTCACGTCTATGGGGGCTAACATTGATCGCTCGCTTAACGATGGCCGTGGGCCTCCAATTTTCAAAATTAGTGGACAGGTGCACCATCGGATTGGGTCTCTCTTGCCACCAGATGGAAGCCCTCCTAAATTTTTGCAGCTATATATTTATGACACCGCTAATGAGGTCACTAACAGAATACGGGCTTTAGCACCTGCTGACATATCTTATGACACTTTGGATCCTGACATTACTCGGAGCCTCATAGATATGCTTGACCAGCATAATCCTTTTGCTAAGAAATTTAGGATGGCACGGGATAGACTTCAGGATGGCCAGGCCGAAGATTTCATTGTGAGGATTGTAGGAGCTAAGGAAGGAGATCCTGTTCAGTACAGTCTTCCAACTACTGATCAGCTTGCTATGCTTGTTGTCGGGGACTTTTCTCTTGACACTTTCCAGCGTGATATAGTCATTCAAACACGCTCTGGAGAACTGCAGCAGATATCTTCTTTGCATCCTGCCTATATGGCGCTACAATATCCTTTGTTATTCCCGTATGGTGAGCGTGGATACCAGATTGGTGTTCTGTATAATGGTGCCATGCCAGCTAGGAAAAATGCTCGCAGTAAGGTTACCATGCGGGATTACTTCTGTTACAATTTCCATTATAGACGGAATCAGCCAAATCCATATCTTTGTTACGGTCTTCTATCTAGTCAGGCCAAGATTGATGCTAGAGCAGCTATAGATGAAAGCAGATTATGGTACATTCTGGATAATCAGGCTGATCTTCGAGTTGAGAACATTCAGGGTATATCCGATGCTGTAGACCGTGGCTGTGTGGACGGTACACAGATGGGGAAGATGACTGTTTTGCCATCCTCATTCACGGGAGGCCGGAGGTACATGATTCAGAACTATCATGACGCCATTGCAATATGCAAGGTTCATGGTCCGCCTGACTTCTTTGTGACATTCACATGCAATGCCAAGTGGCCTGAGATAGATGAGGGTATCATTGAACCAGGACAGAAGCCTAGTGATAGAGCCGACATCATTGTTAGAGTTTTTAATATGAAGCTTGAAGACCTATTGCATGATATTAAGAGTGGAAAAGCCTTTGGTCCATGTAGTGCAGGTATTAGTTTCAGGCCTATTCTTTCCTCCTGTCTCCTTGCTCATCTTGTATATTGTTTCTGCAACCATCACAAATTTACCTATCTTCTTCCACATTATTGTTCACATATGTTCGCTCGTTTCTAAATCCATCCTAGCAATCCTTTGCACTGGCTGTTATACCCTGTTCTTTCTTATTGATGTCATGTCTTCACATGTGCATTGTGTTCTGTGCGATTTATGTCGCTATCTCACGTTCGCACACTTTAATGTATGCTGCAGTTCTCCATACAGTTGAATTCCAGAAACGTGGTCTGCCACATGCCCACATCATTCTTTGGGTGTCTGCCGACACTTCACAGCCAACTTCAACGTATATAGATTCTTTTGTTAGCGCTGAGATACCCGATCCAAAGGAAGATCCACTGGGATATGCTCTTGTGGCAGAACAAATGGTACACGGTCCTTGTGGAAGGTACAATATGAGTTGTCCTTGCATGAAAAATAATAGGTGTTCCAAAAGATTTCCAAAGCCTTACCAAGATGCAACTTTGGTCAATGAAAATGATTTTTAAAGTATGTAAGACCTTGCTTGAATAAATATGTTTGTTACCAAAGGAGGCAAGAGACAGGATAATTCATGGGTTGTGCCATATAATTTGTCCTTGCTCAAGAGGTACCAAGCTCACATTAATGTAGAATGGTGTAACAGGAGCATCTTTGTTAAGTACCTCTTCAAATATGTGACTAAGGGACCGGATTGTAGCAGGGTCTACCTCCAAAGAATTAGAGATGGTGTAGACCCCCCCTATGATCAAGAGAGTCAAACTATTAATGAGGTTAAGGAATATTTGGATTGCCGGTATATATGTGAGCAAGATGCATGTTGGAGAGTCTTTGGCTATGATATCCATAGACACTATCCATCTGTAGAAAGGTTGCCTGTTCACCTACCCAATGAAAATTTCATTACATATCGTGCAAAAGCCAATATGTCCCGTGTTCTCTCACAGGAATTCCTGCGCAGGACAATGCTCACTCAGTGGTTTGTTGCTAATCAGACCCATTCTCAAAGCAGGGAGTTAACTTATTGTGACTTTCCTTCTAAGTGGAGATGGGAAAAGACCTCTAGGACATGGGAACGGCGGTGTCACAACATCGGTAAAATAGGTCGTATCCATTATGTTCATCCTTCGACTGGTGACCGGTACTTCCTAAGAATGTTATTGTTGGTGGTCAGAGGAGCCACAAGTTATGAAGAGCTTCGATCCTTCCAGGGTATCTGCCATCCTACTTTCAGGGGTGCATGCAGGGCCCGTGGTCTTCTTGGTGATGACCAGGAGTGGTACAATGCTTTTGATGAAGCTGCTGCTTGGGCAACCTCTAGACAATTAAGAAACCTTTTTGTTACCATGCTCCTATTTTGTGAGGTTGGAGATGAGTCTGCCTTTTTTGAGAAGGTTTGGAGGCTCCTAGCTGATGACATTCAATACCAGTTCAGAGACATGATTGGTAACCAAAACTACCAGATGCCAGACAATGACATTAGGAATCGCTTGCTTGATGATCTAACTGCTTTATTTGTTAAAAGTGGTAGCAATATACACAATTTCAATCTTCCACATAGAACAAGTGCTTCTGGCTCTTCTTCCACAAACCGTTTGGTTGAAGAAGAATTTGCATATGACGTTCTTTGTTCATCTGATCAGTCAGACTTACTATCATCGCTCAACGATGAGCAAACTGCTGCCTTCAATTCTATAGTCCATAGGGTTACAAATGAAGAACCTGGATTCTTCTTCGTCTCTGGCTATGGTGGTACCGGCAAAACCTTCCTTTGGAATTGTGTTGTCACACATCTAAGATCACAGAACAAGATTGTTCTTACCGTTGCATCTTCAGGGGTCGCAGCACTGTTACTACCTGGTGGTCGCACAGCCCACTCTCGGTTCAAGATACCTTGTGATCTAGATGAAACCTCTATCTGTGACATAAAGAGAGGTACTATGTTAGCTGAGTTGATTCAGATAACATCATTAGTAATTTGGGATGAGGCCCTTATGACTCATAGAGCAGCTTTTGAGGCTCTCGACAGAACATTTCGGGATATCCAGTCTCAAAACTGTTCTGAAGCAGCCCACCTACCATTTGGAGGCAAGGTTGTTGTTCTTGGTGGTGATTTAAGGCAGATACTGCCTGTCATTGAAGGTGGGACTCCAACACAGGTTATCGACGCCGCTATTGTCAATTCTCCATTGTGGTCGTCCGTTACTATCCTTACCCTTACTAAGAATATGAGGTTGTCTTCTTTGGGCTTGGATTCACAGGCTCGTCAAGAGTTGTCTGATTTTAGCCGTTGGATTTTAGATGTTGGGGATGGTAGAGTAAATTCTTTTGCAAAAGAAGGGGAGAGTGAGCCTGCATGGATCAAAATACCTCATGATTTGCTTTTGATGCCTAAAGAGCATAACATTAGGTGCATAGTTCATGCAATCTATCCAGATTTACAGAACTGCTACTCTGATTCCTCCTACCTTAGGGATCGAGCCATCTTAACACCTACCAATGATTTGGCCGAAACACTTAACGCGCATGTTGTTTCTCTCCTCCCCTGTGAGGAAAAGGAATATTTGAGCTGTGACAAAACAGGAAAGCCTCCAGGCACTCATGATGCATATGATCTATTGTATCCTGTTGAGTTCCTAAACTCTCTCAATGGAAATAATTTCCCTCGGCACCGACTCATTCTTAAAGTGGGTGTCCCTGTAATGTTGCTACGGAATTTAAGCCAATCTGATGGCCTCTGCAATGGTACGTGACTGATTATCACTACTCTTGGAGATATGGTTATTGAGGCACGCATTATGACAGTACCCACATTTGGTCGACCGTCCTCATCCCTCGGATTTCTCTAACACTAAAAAATACAAAATGGCCATTTGTTCTCCATAGACGCCTTGATTCCCAATTAAAGTATGTTATGCTATGACCATTAACAAGAGCCAAGGCGGACACTTTCTTACGTTGGCATCTATCTTAAAAAGCCGGTTTTCACACATGGGCAACTCTATGTGGCTCTTTCACGTGTAAGTTCGAAAAAGGGCTCAGAATTCTGATAGAGGACGAAAACGGGAACTGTACAGATGAAACCAAGAATATTGTGTACAGATAAATACTTGCTTGTGTCCCGTATGCCGGGCCAAGTACATGACAGGTCGTTTCGAGTATTTCCTGATTGTATTATATGTTGATATACCGGCTCATTGTGTATGTGTATTAGCATGTCTTCCTCTCCGTTTGTCTGGTCTGCTACCTATGCATGGTAGGCTTCCGTTCTTTGTACATACATAATTTCTTGTCCTTCCTTACACATTTATTTGCACCTTATTAACTTAATGTGTTCACCACAGTACACCAATTTTGTCATGTCAGAGATTCATCTTCTTCCTATTTTTACAGGTGCATGATATGGCTCGTACACCTGCCCCCACACTCTTAGCAAATCTAAAGCCAAGAGACATCCAGGCTTCTGTCTGTGTTCGAGTTATTAGAAAGTGGAATTTCACTGGTAGGAATGAGAATGGGCCTATCCTGCATGTTGACCTTGTTCTCGCTGATAAAGAGGTGTGGGTTTATAACATTTCCTATCTATGTCTAAATTTTCAATACAGTGTAGCTGCTTATGTCCTTACTTCAGAGCTTTATGTACCTACATTTCCTTTACCTCGATGTAATACGCCTTTTCTTGTACAAAATTATTGCAGGGAGGTGTTATGTACGCTGAAATTCCAAGAGATGAAGTGCAGGACAAAAGCCCCCTCATAGAGATGGGCAGGTGTACACCATTAATGAGTTTAGGGTTAAAACGCTAAGTATTCCTACATACTGTTCGTGGAAATAGCATGATTGAATTCACTTGCTACACTAGAGTGGTACTTGAAGATATCCCCTCAGACATATTCCCACAGTTTGTCTATACATTTGTCCCTTTCAATGAAATACATCAGCATGTAAGAGAGCACCCCAATTTTATTGGTAAGCTCCTTCGTAGATCATACACTCTAGCCTAAATGTGTGGCCTCGATATTCTATATGTTATACACAGATGTTATTGGTGTTATCATCAAAGTGCATCCAAAGCAGTCCCAACGCGTTTACGGAGACGAGCAACATCGACTCGACCGGGACATAATTATTCAAGACTTAAAGTAAGTGCTCTCTGCGATTGTTTTGCACGTTCGCTTTTAACTTTCACACCCTTGACTACATGTTCTTTGTTTTGTGTTCATCGGTTTTGCAGAGACAACGAGCTTAGGGTCACGTTATGGGGATGCGAAGCACAACATTCAAACCTTGAATCTATCTACAATGCCCGGTTCGAGGGCGGTTGTCATTTATTTGTAGGTTGCGTCCCCAAAGAGTGCAGTACATTTCCTTACCATCTCCAATTTATTTAGCATTGAATTTATCGTATGCGTGCACCCATATTTGAGACATAAAAAAAAATACAGGAGTATCACATGTGATTTGAAACAACGCTCGCCATTGGTATCTAAATCCTCCCATACCAGAGGCCCAACCATATTATAACAGGTGAGTGTCGTGCTTCTACACGGTAGTTTGCATCCTTCATTATATGTTGTACAGAAACTTTACTATTGACCATTTCCTGAAATTATAGGTTTCAGGATCAGCACTTCCCAATAGATTTGCCTCCTTCATCACCAACGCACCTCCAAGAGGACGAACAGATTGTCATAGAGCACAAGTCACTTGATGAGCTAAATGCAGTTGATCCCTATGAGTTCCCTGTATGTCCTATAAACCATTAAGCGTTGAGTTACTAATCCAGATCGGTGCATGTTACAGTTTATATACTTTTGGCATGTTTCTTTCCACAGCAATCAGACTTTCACTGCACAGTCACAGTTACGGCTGTGCCAAATGACGATTCGTGGTGGTATCTAGGCTGCCGAGGATGCAAAAAATCTAGTTCTGATCAGGTCGGCGGTGCGCCTTGGTGCGGTGGTTGCAAATCCTCAGATTTTATGCCAAGGTAACCCTACTTTCTTACCTCTTCATAGACACTACACCATTGTTTATTCCTAAGGTTGGGTTGCACTCTTAACCAGTCATTTTCATTCCGCGTTTCAGGTACAAATTGGCATTCACTGCTACAGACAACACCGCAGAGGGTTGGTTCTTCTGCTTTGACAATATTGCTCAGCAGATCGTTAAGAAAAGCTGCGAGTCTCTCTTTCACCTTCCTAATAGAATCAGTGGCACACCTCCTGGACTAACAGCTATTGTTGGAAACAAGTATACATTTGCTGTAAGCCTAACGAGCGAATCTTACTATTCAAAAAACACAAGGGAATACCAGGTCAAGTATATTATGGAAGATTTCCAGAAATGTCTGTCGACTCCAAGGTCACTAGCAATTGAAGGAACCAGCAAGACTCCACCAAAAACCTTGATGGTCATGCCAGCTACAACCACTGTGCCCAGTACACCCAAGCCATCTTCCATGATGATAGATGCGCCACCTGCCGAGTCTCCTACTCCAACAAAACCAGTTACTAACATTGTCGGGCCTCATTACTTTTGCTCCATCAGCTTACTGTTTAAATCTGGAATTACCGTTCACAAACACTGACATTTGCTGAATTCCTTACCTGTGCAGCTCTCAGCGGAACTCCAACCTGTCCATACCCCTGCTTCATGTGGTGTTGCTGAGTATGTGTCTGATATCACAGCTTATGTATATACAGTTTGGTAGCTCATCCAGGGTCATGCTAACATTTTGTTCTGATACAATCGTATATGCTTGCTATGTTTCTTAGCCCGGCAAAGTCATCGACGCATGTTGAAAGCAAAGGTGCAAAGAGGAAACTGTTTGACGACCAGTCTACTCATAAGAAGGTCTGTCCTCTTTGTATTCACATATCATTTCTTTTTTCACCCCCTCAAGTTTACAACACAGATGCTAATGCTAGAATTGCATTTTCACACATGACAAATATGAATACAAACTTCCTGTTAACTATGCTCAACAACCTCTGTCGATGACGTTCTTTTCCGATAGGATCAAACGACCTTCGCTCAATCTGCTCATCAGAGTTCTCAGCAACTCAACATCGACGTCCAAATGACCGGACAGGATAAGGATATAGAGGAGCAACATTCTGAGGACCCCCCTAGATAGCCGAGCAAAAAGGTATTCAACGCTAGACTGATGAGTTAGAACATGCAAATAGTCCTTCTGTGCAACTTTTCAGCACTGACAATTATCCTCTTCTTCCAGGCCAAGAACTCAGGATACTAAGCCTCATAGCAAGTCTACTGGACGCAAATCCTCTTCGGGGAGTCAGAAAAATTGAAACAGGTTTTTAAATACATGCTACCATAGTTTTAGACAGACACCTTCGCCGCTCTTGTCATCACCTCAGCCTATTTGCTTTTTTGTGCAGTTTGGGACATCCCTTCGTGCATCGCCTTTTGCGTGGCCACCGCAACGACTACAGCCCATCTAGTCTTTCAGCACGCTGTACATTGGTGTTTACAAGGCCAGTTTGAAACTTCGGTGCCTAGGTTTCTATACCGCCACAAAAGACTATCTTTTGTATGCATAATCTGTCCGCTTTTGCAGTTCATCATCAGCTTTCTTGTATAGTGTAGGATCCCACTGTCTAATCTTATGGAACTACGACTCCTACCTACTTCTACCTTCGCTGCAGCAAACTGCATGCCAAACTATAGACTCTGTCTCTAAACATATGGCGTGCACTCCTGTAATATCTCTAGAACACTACCCGATGCTTCCACCTCAAAACATTGCCGTCTTAATGGCATCCATCCATGTAATATAAGTAGACTTGCTACCTCTGCGTTACGTTTACCGTTAATTGCTATGATTGTACTGCAGTCGAGATAAGCTTCGTTACCTACACGGTTTTATATCCGTTTAATCACCGGCGCGCGCGATGGCGCGCGTGATGCACTAGTGGTGTATTATACCACTTTATGACTGCTTACAACCAAACGTTGCCTTCAGAAGTCGTTAATTAACTAAGAAATCAACTCCTGTAATTTGCAAGTTCAAGATCCTTATCACACACTTGATTTTGTCATACTAAGCATACTAAGCATGATTACAATCTAAGAAGTGAACATGCAACACTTCAGGGCATTGCCTTGAACTACTAAGGAATGAAAACTAAGTGACTTACATCAAGGTGGTTGCCATACATACACATGACTATTACGCGTTGTAAAAGAGAGAGGGATGCTTAGGTGTCTGTCTTGGGTTTAGCTCAAGGATTACTGAGTTCTGGTTCAGCCACAAACTTGGCCTTCGACTCAGGGTAGCCCCTTTGGTCGCTTCCGTTCCTACATGGGTGTAATTTTGCATAAGTTAAACATGGGGCTATGAATTGCAATGCTCATGCATGAACAAGATAGAGCATTAAACATAATTCATAATGTAAGTAGGGACAATAGGTTGACACTTAAGGTTAAAGGCTTAGCTTAATTGGTTGTTGTATTGATTTGCTCGACCATCCTAAATGAGGCATTGGACCTCCCATGACCAAGGGTTAGGCCTGACCGAGATGGCATCAAACCATCTGTACAAGACTTAGGCTCTGGGACTTGGTCAGTATATGGAAGCACTCTGATTTGGAGCGTTTGTGTGGACCATCCACTAACATATGTCGAGTCGTCTGTAGGTATAGGTCAGCGGTGTCTAGAGGTGGTGTCTCGCTGCATGATTTCTTAGACCATTTGAGTGGTGAGTCGGATTATCTACCCGATCAAGATAGAGGTTATGTGTCTCTAGGATGCTCTGGGCTATGATGGTGGACCGCCCAAGAGTATGCTCGAACCATGCGTACATGCAGGATCGAGTCTCTAAGCTTATACATAGAATTTCTAGGGCTAGCGGAATCCGAGTTTAGTCTGTGGACCATCCGTGAGCTCTAGACATAACTCACATGGCTCTAGTGGCTCAACTTTGTGCACATCAAACTTTTGGTAAGTACCATCGGACCAACAGGGGATATAGGATGCCTCAAAGTGTGAGTTTTGACTAGGTGGACCATCCAGGCGTTGAGGCTCACTATCTAGCTTGCCAAGAGCTGATTGGGCCATGCCTTCCAAGGGGGATTGTTCCTAGAGTTTGCTAGGTCCCTAACACATTAAGGAGGTGCAATGGTCAACTTGTGCACTGTGAAGTTCTAGTCATCAATGGCTATCCTACCTTATTCACGAGAATAGATGGCAAACTTAGGTTTGGCTTTACTAGCTTGGTCTAGAGCTTACAAGAGATCTTAGACCTTGAGCATGGTGCCCAAGATATGGAGTAGAGGGCTTGGATGAGCTTCTCCTCTCCCTTCTTGTCTTCATCCCCACCAATCTCGAGGGTAGGAGTGATTCTACCCTAACAATGGGGAGAACCTTGGTGATTTCCCAATTGTAACCTTTGGTGCTCCTTGTTTCTTGGCCTCTTTTTCCTCTTCTTTCATTTCCCTTTCTCCTTCTTGCTCCTCCTTGAGCTCTTGCTTAGAGAGAGGGAGAGAGATGTGTGTGGCAGAAGTACACTGATGTGTTGAGCGAGGACACTTCGGCTGACATGTGGGCCCTAGAGGAGTTAGAGGTGGACAACTCATAAAATTGCATGGACTTCCTCCTTGCTCCTCCTTGAGCTTTTGTTTAGAGAGAGAGAGAGATGTGTGTGTGTGTGTGACAAAAGTACCGATGTGATGAGCAACTTTGACTGACTGATTGTCATTGTGCCGTGACAGATTTTGTAGGTCCAGAGTTGGACCATCTGTCCGCCACAACTTTGACTAACTGACTATGCTAACTTGCAAACATGGCAACTGATGGACCATTCAAACAACTATAATGGGCCATACAACGATTCAAAAAATGTCATGTTTGTTCAACTATACATAACATATATTATGCAAATAGGGGTTTAACATGCCCATGCCTATAATGATTATGTACAGATCAATGAATGTATGCTAGGTCATTACACTAAATAAACAACAAATGACAAGATGATTATGCATAAATCAGTGAATGCATGCTAGGCCGTTACAGTAAGACATTTTCAAGAGACTTTCTTAAATTCACTCTCTGTACCTCTAATATATTTTCTATATCTTGTGCATACTCTAGAGAGCAAGTACTGTTATCTATCTTTAGCTAGCAAACAATCTGAAATAAAGGATAGATATGTACTTAGAGATCTACAAAGAAGATGTTGAAAGGATTTTTTTCACTAAAATCTCTACTATCAATTAGGAACTCTTGGAGTTGCCCTAAATAAACAATAAATGACAAGCCAAAGAAGACCTAAGGCATTTCTCAAGCTAACCTCGGGCTACGCCGCAAAAAAGCTCAACGATACGCCTAACCCACCTGAAAGGTCCTTGTTTGGTTTTGGTAATTGAGTGACAATCTAGGTGGACTAATTGTGTTTATATGAGATACATAGGTAATTAGTCCACATGTACATGTGTGTGAGCAACATATGCCATAGAGGTGAAAATGGCTCGGAGATGTTGCAAAGTTCACACATGTGATGATGAGGGAGCTCATTGCACATGAGACATGACATTTGAGTCATGTGATTAAGATAGAGAAGATCAAGACATGACTTGATTTGATGGACCGAGTTGCAAGCGTGAAGGGCAAGTTGGAGGCTTTGAAGCGATGGACCGCGTGGTGGTAAAGCTTGAGCAAGACTTGGCGCCGATGGACGAAGGCAACGGTGAAAAGCAAGTGAGGTCAAGATCGATGAACCAACAAGATCACGTGATGATATGAAGTGGATCATATCATTGTTGATCGTGTTGGTGCATGTGTTGCATCGACATTGGATGAGATGGAATGGAATGTGCAAGGCAAAGGTATAACCTAGGGCATTTCATTTCACCGATCATAGGTGTGTAGAGAAGTTGATGACCGGGTTTAGGATAGATGGCCGTACTATCAAGAGGGGCAAACTTGTTTGCATATCGGTCATCTAGTACCATTCGAGTGATATAACTTTGCATCGTTGCTAGGATCGAGTGGCGTGGCAAGTTGAGTGGCTAATCCTTTGAAAAATGTTTGTGAAAAGCTAACACAGATACACATGGTGGTGTACACTTGGTGGTGTTGGCACATTTGTAAAGGAGAAGAAGTTAGTGTTGATGATGATCAACTCGGTGAAGAAACGGAGGCGAGAAGGAGGTCACTGTGAGTGACCGGACATTGGCCTCGACAGGACCGGCACGTCCGGTCAGTGGCAGCAGTTGGGCGCGGTCTCGATCAAGTGACCGAACACTGCACGGTAAAAGTGACTAGACGCGCGGGGCCTGCATCCGATCAGTGATGACGTATGCTGACGTAGCGCACTGAGTTGATCCAGAGAGGATCGAACGCAGAGGCGAGTCCGATCACCAGGGACCGGACACGTTCGGTCGCAAAACAGAGGCTCAGTGAGCCCTCTGAAAATGATCGGACTCTGAGGCTCGCGTGTCCAGACTTGGTGCTGAGGTTGCGTCCGATCAGTCACACTGACGTACGCTGATGCAGGCAGGCGCGAGAAGCCAATGAGGACCGGACCCTGAGATGCGTCCGGTCACCTGTGATCGGACGCGTCCGGTCATAAAGCAGAGGCTCAGGGAGCTCTCTGGAAACGACCGGACTCAGGTGTTGCAGCGTCCGGTCATCCTCACTGTGCTGCATCCGGTCGTCGTGTGACCGCTGGCGCACGAAGTTACCGTTGACATCGGGCGGCTCCTGTTGAACGCAGAGTGACACGTGGACGGCGTAGTGCAACCGGACGCTGGCAGGGTGCGTCCGGTCGATATGACCGGCGCGTTCGGTCGTCTCAAAATCTACCCAGTGAAGGGGTAACGGCTATTTTAGCTCGTGGGGCTATAAATAGAAGTGTTGGTCGGCCTTTGACTGAGTGCTGAGCACACTAGAGCCTTGGTGGCTTATGTGGTAGTGCTTGGGAGTCCTCTAACTCACTTGAGCTTGATAGTGTTCATCTGATCGAGTGAGTGAGCGATTCTAGTGCGATTGTATCGTGAGGTTGCATCGAGTGGCACTAGGTGATCAAGTTACAAGCCGGTGGTGCTTGTTACTCTTGGAGGTTGCCACCTCCTAGATGGCTTGGTGGTGGTCTCCGTCGAAGCCCGCAAGAAG